GGGGGGGAGGAATCATTAGCCAATCAGTTTCAACAGCCAATAAACCAGTAAGAAGCAGTGAGTGGCTGAGGAGAAAGCATTGAGAAGAAAACAAGGATTGAAGTGCTTAACAGCAAGGAAGAATACAAACACTGAAATGGATGGAGAAAGGAGAGCTTGTCAATATGTCTCCCTTTCCTTTTTCCAATCCAGCTACTTAGGGCTGCCCCTCAGGTGGGTATCGGGGCACCATGCTGGGGGAGGTCCATCATAAGAAGTGAGCAAAGTGAAGATCCCATCCCTCCCCTCCAGCTGACTGGCTTTTGGAGGGGCCAGGTGCTGTACCCTTCTCATTCTGGGGTCAGCACCCCTATTTCATTCTCCCCCCTCCCCATTCAAGGAGACACGAGAGACACTCAGTCGCCTCACTCATGCTTCCCTGACAGACTTACCTCCAATCTGAAACTGCTGCCATGCCAGCCACTTCACCCCACCCTGACCACGACTCATAGTAGTCCCTCCCCCTTTCTTCCTCCAGTAACCTTCTCCCTCCCGTTTTGAGCCAAATGGGTTTACTAATTTAAATATCCTCCATTCCTGTGCCATGTGCAGGAAGTTCCCCCTGGGTGCATCTTGCCAGCCTGCCAAAAAGAGAGCACCAGATTGATGGGGGGGGGGGGTTTTCCACAGAGAATGCCCAAAATAGTTAGCTATATTTTGCACTCATAATCTGCCTTTATTCCATCCTGGAACATATAAGAAGAGCCCTGCTGAAGGACACAGTGGCAAGAAACCCAATTTGAGATTCCCCCCTCATGACTCTACTGGGGGGTTAGATATATTGGGGGGCTGGAGCTTGCCAGAGGAGGCTGCAGGAGGTGGTGGTATGAAGGCTGTTGCTGACGGGGAGGAAAGGAGAGACTTTGCAAAAAATCTGTGGTTGTTTGGCTTGCTCTGTCCTGGCCCTATTTGCGTGGTGGGCAGCAGGTGGGCATCAGTTAACTGAGGAGGAGGGGTCAGTTAGTTTGCCATCTTCAAGCCACCCCTGCTAATTCCTTGTGACTTCAGACAGCAGTGAGGATGGCTTCTGATTGGATTAGGAATACACGCCCCCTGGCTGGAAGGGTGGGGTGGAAGAGAACTGCTCTCAGCTTGCACCACCTGGCCAGCACATGCCAGCTGAGCAGGAGGGCGGGGCGGCTGAGAGAAGAAGGACCCCCCCATGCTGGGCTAAAATTTCCTGCGCTGGGGAGTAAAAATTGGTATGCCAGTGCACAGGAGTGCACCTTAGTGAGAACCCTGATCCTGACCAAGCCTCTATGAAGAGACAAACTTGAAAAACTACAAGATAAGCTGAAACTTGAGAACTCTTGCACGCAACATTAAAAAGGAGTGTTGGATACTGTAATGCTGCATGCAAGAGGAGCTGGGAGGGACAGGTTTAAGAGAATTCACTTTCTGGGCTACACTTGGCCATTGGCTCCACCCTCTAATTGGTTATACTTTGAGCCTCTTTGGTTGTTGGTTGCCTTCAGCACTGACTCTCAGAGATCCAGAGACGAAGGCTTTGCCTTTCGTGATCTCTCGGGGCCAGTCCAGAAGCTTCTGCCCTGCAGTGGGAACCAAAGCAGCTGACATCATTCTCCTCTCCCCTGTATGACCCGCACAACTACCCTATGAGGTATGTTAAGGTTGAAAGTGTGTGAATGGTCCATAATCCCCCAGGCAGCTTTTAAAACATGAACCTCGGACCTGCACACCACCAGAATACAGCAGGTTCCATATGCAACTGACATTCCAACTGCCTTGCGGGGGGGGGAGTTTGAGGTGTGGAATGGAGTGAAGTCCAATCAGCTTCCATATGCAAAAGACCTTGAAACGCTGGGCGGGACTGCACAAAGCAGCCAGTCAACCCAGCCAGCGTCTTCTGACTGACAGTTCAAGCGTCCATACACTAAAGGTGTGCATTTGGAATGTTGGTCCCCACTACTGCTTTATAATATAAGGGAGAGATAACCACTGACTGTCTTTCTTTTTTTGAAATAAGTATTCTGTTTTGTATTTCTTGCATGTCTTTAGCTAATAAACTATTTATTGTTTAAATAACCTTGTGTTGCATTCCAGCTAACTTTCTTTTAACATTCTACCCACCTTGGTAAGGGACACTCACCAGACCATTACGAATCTAGAGGTGCAGGTAACACTATACAGGGTTAGTGTACAGGTGCATTCTTACAACACCATCTTCCCACTTCTCCTAGTTGAAATCTCTCCCCCAAAGCACTGTTGTCTCCCCTCCTCATTTCCCACTGTTGTGGCCTTCTCCTCCCTGGATGCCTCCATGGTTTCCATGCTGAATCTCTAGGCAGATCACGTGCATTATGGTTCCTCTGGCAGCCCATGATTGGCCACCAAACTCTAGCTGGGGCTTTTATGATATTCATTAAATGGTATAATAGACTGATTTCTGAATTCGGATGGGGAGACCTATGTTCAAACACTTCTCAGCTATGGAGCTTGGTCAATCCTATCTTATACATTTGTTATGATTGGGATGTGAGCTCCTTTAAAGGACAGAAAGGATAAAAATGCAATTAAATAAATACAAGCTACCCCCCCCCACATGCTTATAACATCTTTAGAAGTATATGGGAAGATGCTGACGGTGTAATAGGTTCTTACTCATATGAATACCTATACACTTAACTAGGCTGTAATTAATTGGAGGCAGACACTAGAAGGGCATGTGATACATTAAGTCTCAGCCTCTTCATGCCCTTTAAAGTCCTGGCAGCTGGCAAGGTTCCCACATTTCAGTTATCTGTAGAACTTGTACAGAAAGGAGCCTCTGACCAACAGCCACAGGTAATTTTTCCCCCTGCTCTGCTTTTTATTCATGCTTAGGTACCCTAATAAGGGCATGGTTTGGGATTTTGAGCTGATTTAGAGATTGAGTCAGGCATGGGGTTTTTTATACTACAAAAATCTTCATAATGAAGCATTATTTGATGCCTCTTCAGGCAGTGTGGGAGATGTTTCAGTGTCATTGAATCATGATGCGGAGGGCAGATGTATGACTATGGAGGATACCAATCACAATCCCCCACCCTACAAAATTGCCTGATTGGACCCATTCCACCACTTTGCTATGTTTATGTGCATCCCTACAGTGTGAATCATGGTGTAGCAGCTCCCCTGCATTTGGTTGTGCATGTGATGAAGGGGTTTACTTTAGTGCTTGTGATTGTTGGTAAGGTGAGTTAAGAGTTAACACTGTGAAATTTCTGTTCATATTATTGGATTATAAAACACCCACATGACTAAGATAATCGATCAGGTAATCTTTTTTCAATACAATAAGTGTCTAATTGAAGTGAATTAAGAGATAGGTCTGGTTGATAACACATACTTTTCTTTTGTCTGAAGCGTGAAAGCATGCTGATTTGAATTGTGAGAACAGGATGGCTTTTGCTGTTTTTTGCTATCTTTGCCTGCATGTTCTTTTTCATGTAAAAGAAACCCTCCCAATCCATTTTATATGTGAATGAAACAGAAGACTAAATCCATATGGCTTTCCTAACTTGTCCGTTATTGCTGGCTTCAGGCCAAAGGTTACACCATGGCCTGTGTTTGTTCTTAGGATTAGTACTATCTTGTTACCCTTGATGTGCTTTTAAATACCTTGTGTGAGTTCTATTCAGAATGAACATATAGGAAGGGAAGTGAAAGACTGCACTGAGTCCTGTGGAGATCCCCTTCTATGATGTGCATGCAGGATGTTTGCTGCACATCTGTTTGTGCTTCTTTTCCCCACTAGTTGTTGAACTAGGATCTACCAAGGGTGTCGAACTCACTGAAAATGTGTTATTTAATGTTAAAAAAATCTTTAACTGTGTTTGTCTGTGTCCTTTATAAAGTTTATATCTCTGCTAGCTGGCATTACCTTTTATGACATACAAGGCCCGTCCCAACAAGGTCTCATTTATGTCAGATCCAGCCCTCACAACAAATGAGTTTGACACACTTAGCTAAAGCTGTGGCTGACTTTCAGAATGTAGCCACTTTGATCTGTCTGCATAGGTAGCTTTCAAAATATCACACACTGTCATATAATCATTGATGTGAAAGCTCATCCTTGTGATAAATTTTCTACCTTAATCAAGGTCATGTGCATCATGTCAAATGCAGATTGCAGGGAACCAATATGTAATAACCAATGTGTAATCCAATACTGTTTTAAAGCTAGTTCTTTGTGATTTTTTAAAATTGTGAAGACAACTGTTGCATTTTTAGGTGTATGGACACCTAAAAAAATAATGTAAAGACTAACTATTGTTTTATCAATAACAACAACAACAATAACAACAACAACAATAATAAATTATTTATTCATCATCATGAACGTCATGTTGAGAAATTAACTTATTTATGAATTTATATCTGGTACACACGCACCAAATGAACTGTGCACACACTTGTATACCATGAGCCAAGGAAAGCTGTTTGAATCACCTACTGTGAGACAGAGTTCACATAGGAAAAGCCTGCTTGCATTTCATGGTAATGGACCTTTCACACATTCAGCTCAAAGGATCATGGGAAGAAGAAGCACATGGTAGCCTTTGTTAGCAGAAAACAACAACACAGAGAAGAAATCCCCCCATTACTGCAAAGACTGGTTGTCATGTAGGACACAGATTGGATCTACATTTGAATTGCAGTTTCCTGTTTACAATGCCTTGGCAGCCTGGTGAGGCCAAGATTCATCTCCACAACAAAGAGATGTCCTGAAGCTGAGATTCCACACCTAGCCAAATGGTATTTCCATGAGATAGAGTGTAGTATTTCAAATATTGGCCCAACCCATAGAATACCAGCCCCTTTTCACCAATTCACCAATCAGGTAGTTCATGGGATGGAGTAGTAAGTAGGTGGGACTACAGTTTGGCAAGGTGACACCCACCTGGAGATCCAACTATATAACACAGAGACCATGCTTTAGGTCTTCGGGCCAGCCACATTCCACCATCAATGCAAGACCATGCTGTAGGCTGGCCACACTCCCTTTCCTGCTTTAAAACTCTTTGTTCTGCTGGGTCTCTTTGGGGTGTGCAGCCAAAGACATCCACAGACAAACACACTAGCTAGCTGGTTCTGGCAGTGTGAATTAATAATTACCCTTAAGAACCTTTCCCTTACCCTCCAATTTTTCCATTGCAACAAGACAGGACTCCTGGAAGCAGGTGAGTATAAACAGAAATATACCTCCCTCCCTTCAACTAACTGATAATCTATTTTGATTTTCTTTCTGTAACTCTTAATAAATCTTGAGTGTATGTGAAATGAGAGACTGATTATTTTTTATGTGTGAACTCGAAATCCTTCAGTAAAAGATTATTTTGTTTTGGAAAAACATCCGTGTGGTCTCCATTACTGGAACTCTGAGTTCAGACACAACCCCGGTATAGCTGGCCAGAGCTCACGTTAAAATTATAGTTAGCTATTTGCTGTAGATAAAGCATTTGGCGTAACAGACATAACCTACAGTAGCTCATCAGAATGCCCCTGTACATTATTCAATTATTCTGTAGCATTTGGAGTACTGAAGTGGCCTGATATTAGAAAAACCCAAGGGCAAAACCAGATCAGTCCCTAGGCAATCCATGAGCAGATCTTCTCAGCATATTTTAAAGCACAATTATGGCCAAGGATTGGGAGTCTTTAAAGAAGGGAGGGGGTGTTAATTCTTTTATCCTTGCATGGTTTTGCAAATTGAAATTGATCCTCCCTTGCTATTATAGTTCTTTAAGGCTGCGATCACATGCTCTTTTAGGTCTGACATAGGCGCAAATGCCTGATGGATCTAAAGGGAGTGATCAGACAGCAACATGCTCCTTTAGGTCCGACATAACTCACCCACAGTTGTGTCTGATCACAAAGTGATGGGCTGTGCCTGCAGCTTCAAAGGGCCGTGTAATCACACAACTGTGTCAAATTCCTCCGGAGGAAATAGCCTCTCTTACCCTGCGCTTCAACTAGCGCATGTGACTGCAGCCTAAAAGACCAAAAGGTGGGCAAAAGATGGATAATAACCTTTCCCCCCTTTGAGGGGCTTTAAATGGGGGCTGATTTTGATTACACATGGGTTAAAAAGCATATGGGGTGGAAAGATTAAATCTACCCCCCCCCAATTGCCCCTATCTGAGTTGGGCATCAGTTTGGCTGTAATTGGACTTTAAAAGACACTAAATGATCTGGGATGAGTATACATCTGGACCTTGTTAGTGGCTTCTCTTACTGTTTCATAGGAACTACTGGGGAAATGTTTGGTGACTTTACAATGCATATAAATCTGCAAAGTTGTGGGGTTTTTTTTTGCTTTGATACTCCAGTTGTAAGTAATGAAACTATTGAGCAATTTCTCTCCAGTTTTAAAAACAGACATCCTCAACACCTAAATGTTTTATTAAAAGCGGAATTGCAATTTACTATTTAATCATACTGATCTTTTACAGATATTCAATATGCTGCATCTGCTTGTGATGACTTTCTTGGCACTGGGATTTATAGATTCAGAACACTCCCCGAAAAAACAGAAACAAGTCAATCCTGAAGCATTCATGAATATTGTAAGTTGGTCTATCGGCTTGGTCAGCCATATTAACAGCTTTCAGTACTTGCCATGGAATTAGGACGATGTGCATGTGTGTGTGTGCACATGGTTTGGGTATTTTAAACATTTGTGCAGGTGTGATCTATTTACTCTCTTATGTGATTCCACACATTCATACTGATCATTACAACCATTTATTATTACATTATATTACCACTTACCTTTGGTTTCTGAGCCAATCGATAGCAACGGTGTTTCCTGGAGTGCAGCACTTCAGATTGTAGATGAGTTAGAGAGTAATTATATATTTGAATATTGCTGATCTACAGGGAAAACCCCACATAGGCAAACTGTTGTGAAGGGAGGCTTTTAGCTGAAGTCTTCTTTCTGTTACAGAGGGAGGAAGTTTTTGTTTTTTGGGTGTCCACTTAAGTATGCATTGCACTCCCAACTTAAGAACATAAGAACATAAAAGATGCCAGTGTTGGATCAGGCCAAAGGCCCATCCAGTCCAACACTCTGTATCACACAGTGGCCAAAAATACCAGTGCCATCAGGAGGTCCACCAGTGGGGCCAGGACATTAGAAGCCCTCCCACTTTTGACCCCCCCAAGCACCAAGAAGACAGAGCATCACTTGCCCCAGAGTCCCTATCTATACCTTGTGGCTAATAGCCACTGATGGACCTCTGCTCCATATCTATATACTAATACCGAAGTCACCCCCTAGTGTGCGGATAGCTAAATCCACGCACTGGTGGCACCCGGGGGGAGGGAGAGGTGTGCACAAAAATCCAAAAAGTTAAAAAAATATCAGGGGGATACTTAAATCCCCCCAAAAGTGACAGAGCGTCCCCTGCGCATGCGCAGGGAATGCTCTGCAGCTGCCGCTGCCGCCTTGG